TGCAGGCCCAGCTGAATAGCCAGGCTGAGAACACACTGACTAGCAGAAGACAGAGCTTTCATAGCTTCCTTCCTTGGATTTACTAACTATATGGAGTGCTGAGCTTGGAGAAGTTACTTTTTTATACTACAGTTCTCCAAATCTTCCAGCCAGCATGGGCACTGGTCCGGATCTCTGTGAGTTCAGTAGAAGACTGGCAGGGAACATCTACAGACATACACCAGAAGGGCTGTTCCATGTGATCAAGCACTTTGATCATACAAGGACTCCTGATCACAATGAACACTCCATGGATGTCTAGAGGAGTAACCAGCTGTGTCACATGCACAGATATACTCATCATACTTTTTGAGGAGCACCTAATGCTCTTTCCATCATCACTCCTCCTGTGTGGAGGTAACAACTGAACATTCCTTAGCATTCCTTAGTTGCTCCATTCACATCCTCCACAAAATGCAAGAATGGGACACCAGTCACTTGAAGTTTAAGGGGCAGAGATCATGCCTACAAACCCTCTTTCCCACCATATATGGAAGGAGAAAATGAAAATGATTATAGTACACACTTAGCTTCAAAAGGGGGACTTTGCAAAAAGCATGTAAAAATCCCTGAAAAATATAGATCTATATCTATGAACAGCCCTTCTGGCCACATTATCAGCTTTAGCAACTACCAAGCATATGATTGTACAATGCTATCAGAAGCTATTAAACATTATATATTATATATGTTGCTTCTTCCCTTGGTTCTAGATTATAAAAATTTGATCACTGTGTTTCAGACCAGTTAGTATACAATATTCAAGTAATAAGGTATTTTTATGGATAAAGCCAGGAGGAGGGTGAAACAAACAAACAAAGATGTATTACCATGTTGTGCAACTGTATTTAAAAATAAAACAAAACAAATGTGAAATTCTGGCGTATACACAACACATTTGTTTTGATTTTAAAAGTACCACTTTTTTGTAGCGATACCATAGGTTATGCACAATAACTTATACTAGGAAGAAATAAACATTTCTCATCTTCCACAACATATATATAATTCTAACATTCACATTAACAGTTTAAGGAAACAAAAAACTTAAGTGAATATTACATATGATGGAGCCATCTTTGTGGACCCTTCTAATTCAGAATGCATAGCCTTGATTAAAATAATGCTCGAGCGACCAAAGTGAAACCTTTTCATACAGAAGAACAGATTTAAAAATACAACAAAGGAAGCCAATAATTTCTTCCACTTCGCAGTGGAACAGTTAAAAAGGGAACAAAATATTATATGCATGTTTTCAATAAAGTAGTACTGAAGAAGTAAGGGAATATATATGTACATAATTTCATTTTCATTAAAAACAAATTCTGTGCTGATTTACGCAGGGGATGGAATTCTTTCTGTGCCCATACATTTACAGGAAAGCATAAACCACCCAGGCTCTTGGCTTGTACCGATCTGGAAAGTTAATCAAATGTTAGAAGTCTCACAGATATTAAATAAGGGTGGGGGGGTGAAGTATGAGCAATAATTTATCAAATGCTTACCTTCTTATTAAGCTTTTACTTTCCAGACAATTAGATTTGTATCCGGGAAGGTCATTCCACTCTCTATCAGGTGGCAATTTCTGCTCATGGGAAGCACCTACTCCTAATCTCTGGGAATCCCTCCCTTCTTCCTTCTCAGCCTCCACACTGCCACTCACTATTTGCAGGAGGGGCCTGCTGTGCAACATGTGGAGAAGAGATTCTAACTGGAGAGGATAAACTCCCTATTGCATGTGTGTACCAGACTGGAAGGTGCTATTGTTCTTCTGTGGGCTTCCTGTGTGCAATTAGCTAGCTGCTTCTATGAAGAGAAAGCTGGACTAGAAAAGGTTTTTGGCTTGATGCAACATGGCTTACCATACTTAATTCTTGTTCTTCTACTTTTTTTTTGTTTATTGCCCGCAGAACAGAGTCAAAGTATCTGCATATATGCATCTTACTAGGATTAAGAGAAAAATGATACATCAGGCAGGACGGGCCAATATGAGAACGTTACTGACATAGTAAAGATATCAGAGTAAGAAGGAAACATAATTGTCCAGTTTATGATAATGAAATTAGCAGACAGGAAAACTTGATTATTTTGGAAAGCCTATGAATCAAAGTTGAAACATTGCCTTAGAATATGGCATGTTTTAAAAACTTCAGTAACAAATCAGGGTGATTTAGAAATGTATTTATCAAGTGTTTGTTATGCACTGTCAGTGCACCATCTCTGCCGAAACTACATTAAGGGGTCTTAATTTGCAGTTTGTCATTATTTGCAGTTCACGTTTCTTGAGCGAACAAGGGTAATCTAAACACTGTATCTGCAGATCTGTAAGCAGCATGGAGTCACATGCAAATATATTCTCTGTGCACACACCTCGCACAGTTAAGATGTTCTAGCTGTGATTTCCTCTCTAACAAAGATTTTCTGTGTATACATGGAGGCTTAAATCCTGTCGGTGAAGCTCCACACTTGCAAGGCTGATGACATAATCTTAAATGTGATCAGCAATTTTTGAACATTAAAGACTCCCCTCCATCCAAAGGTTTCCCCAGGATGAAAGGATCCCTAGAGAGTTTAGTGGTAAAATGCCATTGTAGATGACATCATTAGCAATGTGTGGATGGAGCTGAGCAAACAGGATTTAACCAATAGGGTTTTTTTTAAATGTAGGAGGGCTTTGAAATACCCTGTTTCCCTGAAAATAAGACAGGGTTTTATATTAATTTTTGCTCCAAAAAACACATTAGGACTTATTTTCAGGGAATGCTATATTTTTTTCATGTACAATCTACATTTATTCAAATGCAGTTATGCCATCTTCTTGTTGCTGTACAAGGGTGGAAGGCAGGGTTTCACTTAACTGGGGCTTATTTTTGGGGTTGTGTTTCTATTATGAGCATCCTGAAAAATCATACTAGGGTTTATTTTCAGGTTAGATCTTATTTTCAGGGAAACAGGGCATTTCGTATTCAATCCCTATCTATAGTCTAAAATGGTACCGTCTGGCAATATATATTATTATGTAAAACAATTTTTAAGGTCCCAATTACCATAAATTTGAGGGGGACCGTTCAAGCCATATCCACCTGATTCTTGCATCCTTTATTAATAAAGGATGTTTACGTAGAAACAGTCTGTCTCTGACAAATGCCTAAGGTCTTCCTCTGATTCCAGCTGCCAGAAAGGCTGACACAGCGCAATTCTTAGAAAATTGACTACTGCTTCTAGCAGCACGACAGTGGACCCAATTACCTCAGGAGGTGGTGAGCCCTCCAATGCTGGAGGCATTCCAGAGAAACTTGGACAACCATCTATCAGATCTGCTTTGATTTGGATTCCTGCAATGAGCTGGGGGTTGGGCTCAATGGCCTTATAGGCCCTTTCCAACTCCATGATCCCATAGTTCTTTTCACCTCTGAGAACTCGATAGAAAATTCTGGGAGTCATAAAAAAAAAAAGTAACTTTCCAAAACAAATTTTATAAAACTACTATAAATATTTGGTTCTGATTTCTCATACAAGTGCAGCTTCCTTTCCCAATCCGGAAAAGATTCAGAGCAGCTCCTAAAGCTTTTAATTACGCATTTGAATGGCACATATTTTAAAATTATCAAAATGGCGGAGATTAGAAAATTCCAAGTTTGCTTTTAAGAGAAAAGAAGGTAACAACATGCTGAAGCTACCTGTAACTGCGAGCACATCCAAAGCATCTGGATAGCTCAGTGGATTGGGTTTCTGGCTGCATACCCAGAGTTTGGGAGTTCAATTCCCACTGTGGCTGCTTGAGACGGTCTGGACTCGATGAGCCATAGGGTCCTTTCCAGCTCTGCAGTTCAAAGGTTATTATTATTATTATTATTGTTCTGCCAGTGTTCAGTTATGGGTAGCTTCAACATGCCTGTATATTCTTTCTTCATGAAAAGACCTTTTTGGGACTGCATTTTCATTATCTAAAGGAGCGTAGCTATGGTGTTTGGTATTCTAAACCAGTGGTCTCCAACCTTGGCCCTCCAGATGTTCTTGGACTTCAACTCCCAGAAATCCTGGCCAGCAGAGGTGGTGGTGAAGGCTTCTGGGAGTTGTAGTGCAAGAACATCTGGAGGCCCAAAGTTGGGGACCACTGTTCTAAACAAAACATATACCAGGGTTGCAAATTTGAGTTGTAATCCACAAAAACTGACACTGTAATAAATCTGTTAGTCTTAAAACATGCCATAAACCTTTTTTGTTTTTTTTTAAATACCCACTTTGGGGTCAATTTTAGTTAGTGAAGACAAGCTTTAAGCCGTTTAAAAATAAAAGGCACATAACTTATTTGGGCAGGTTTTAGAATACATTAAACAAAATACTAAAGATAGCTCTTCTGTCCGATAATGAAAACGGTACCTAAATTCACACTTCAGTTTCCGGTACGTTCATAGAAACCTATTCTGAGGTTGCTTTTTTCTTTAAATTTAGTTTCTACATTAAAAGGAAGCAACACTTGATTGGGAGTAAATAACGTCTGGCTAACACTAGCTAAAATATTAACTAAATGTTGCATTATTAGAGCTAATACACTGTTAAAATATTTTAAAATGCCTCCTTCCTACCTCTTTCAGAGGGAGAATCACTTTGGGCATTATGCTGATGAGGTCAAAGGTTATCTGGAAGGAGCCACTGCCTCTTCTAGTTTCCAAGGCCAGCAACATCTCAGATACTAGGAAGTGCAATGTTAGTTTGGAAAGAACTACATCACTGCCTGTTAGACAGAGGAGTGGTATCACACAGGCTCTTGAGGTGGAAAGAGAGGAAAGGGAACACTGAGAAGCAGGACTACTCTAGATATTCAAAAATTGAAATCTAAAGGGCTGAAACTCCTTGTGCCATGTTTTCCAGTTGCACTGCAGTGGCATGGCCAAGCAAAACATTAACTAACCAAAAGAGCAATTTATCCATTCCAGCTGGTATGCAGCACGCCCCCCCCCGCGAGGCATGAGTTCCATACCTTAAGAAGAGGGGAATATTTTCCCCCACCTCTCTTTGGGTAAAGGATACCAGTTTTGTCTTGATCCCCTGGACAGTCAAAGAAACTCGCCTGTATTGGCAATTCAATTAATAATACAGAACAGAATATAAAGATGCTGAACGCTACTACATGGGAGCATATGTGTCTTAAGTATTGATTACTTCAAAGCAGATTACAGACTGGCATTTCCTTCTGCATGAAATAAAAAGGTCCAATAATAGTTATAATAATCTCTGTTTTTTTAAAAAAAGAATCACAATTAAAATCCGAACGTATCCTAAAATGGAGCTGAATACATGAGAAAAATACTGTACATGCTAGAAGGTTGGTGATCCTGGAACTCTGAAATCATATTTCCCCACTGATATCACAGAAACGGACAGACCAACTAGCATACGCACAACATTTTTCTTTATACAGAGCCCACTCATTTTAAAAACAAACCAAAAGCATTGCCTTACGAGTAATGATTACACCAGAAAATAAGTCGAAATCACGCAAGGCCCTGTAGAAATACACTAAGACCCTATTGGGGAGCAGGTTACAGAAACACCTTTGCAACGCGTCAGGAGGTTATCTCTGAGCTTGGGAAGGTAGAGAAAGTTTCGCTGATCAAGGTGTACAGATCGGCATGTAGATGGTTTGAAGAGGAGCAGATGCTGTGAAGTGAGATGTTGCAGAAAACCAAGACCTTGTCCTAGGAAGCATTGAAGGATAAATAGCGGCCCTATGGAGGGATGAGGAGAAAATTAAGGCAAATGTAACACGGGAACCAAAGTGTTTGCCTTTTGTTTGAGATCTGTCCGTTCTCTCTCTCTCTTTTTGGTAATAGCTGCTTGTCCACAGAGATAGGATGAAGATGGCTGTCTGAGATTCTGCTAATACCTGATATCGTAGATAACACAGTAGTCAAATCATAGAATTGTTCTAGGCTGCCTGAGTTTCTCATGAAGCAGACGGGTATCTGACATCCAAAACAGGAGTTGCCTGGAAGAGAAGAGAGGGAGGAGGCAGGGGAAAAATCATTTAAAAAGTTGTTGCATTCAATGGGGGTAACTAGCTAAAACTAGTAATTAGTTAAAAACAAATTAATGGTTGCATAGCCAAAGCTTGGGGTTCAATTCCTTATTCTAGCTCCTTGAGAAGAACTAGATTCGATGATCCATAGGGTTCCTTCCAGCTCTGCAGTTCTAAGATGATGATGATGATGATGATGATGATGATTACTACTACTACTACTACTACTACTACTACTACTACTACTACTACTACTACTGCTGCTGCTACTGCTACTGCTACTACCCTATTTTTCCATCTATAAGATGCTACTTCTTCCTAAAACCATTACCCTAAAAATTTTGGGGCATCTTTTACACAGAAGTAAGCTGAAAAAAGAACAAAATGGCACATTCCTTGCCTCTGTAAACAGGCCTCCTTCAGCCCCCAGGCTTAGCTTCCTACAGTCAGGAGACTTAGCTTCCTCCAATCATGAGCCTTATGGAACTGATGTCAGCTGATCCTGAACCAATTGGAACACACCTCCTTGGAGGTGGAGCCTGTAGGCTCGAGATTCAACAGAGACAAAATGTCTGACCTTCTGAGCTCGGAGGCTGAATCCTCAAAGCTACATTTTCCTAATTTAGGGTTAGATAATGGGGGGGGTCTTACAAATGGGGGCGTGTGATAAATGGAAAAATATGGTATTTCTTTATTTGATAACTTTTGCAATAAGTAAGTCATTAACTACTTATAACTATCTTATAACCTGGGATAATTTCATTCCTTTTGTTGTACAGCTATTTTTATGGTTACAGGAAGTCTGTGGCATTACTATACAGATCTCTTTTGCATGATAGGCCAGCATATTTGTAGCATTCTAGGTTCCCCCCCCCCAAAAAAAGAGAAGTATAAGTAACTACTTTGGTTATTTTTGAATACTGAGAAAGTAAAGTGTTGCCTTTAAAAAACTAACTTCTCAAGCTCAACGCACACATTTCAAGCCTCTTTTTTCTGTCCTCAGGGAAAACCGAGTGAGGCAATGGAGAATCAAAGATAACTGATGTGACAGCAACTGTTCAGGCGCCTCCATTCATGGATTTCTCAGCCAATATTCATAAACAAACAGAAAGCCGAAACATCCAGCAGTGGAGCCCCATTGTCAATGCTTAACGTCCAGTAAAATGTGAGTGAAGAGGGAAATGAGACAGAAATGTCAGCCTCATCCCTTGGGTTTCAAGTTTATATCTTTCAATTATGTCTCATTATACAAACCAAAAACTGTTCAACAGTTGCAAAACCATTTAAGAACCAATTTGTAGGTCTAATCAGAGTAGACCCATTGAGCAGACCCAGTGATTCCACTAGATGCATATACATGTTGATTTATCATTCAGTGGACATATTCAGTGGTCAACTCTAGTTCAGTGGGCCTAATAATAATAATAACAACAAAATAAAATGTAGTAGTAGTAGTAGTAGTAGTAGTAGTAGTAGTAGTAGTAGTAGTAGTAGTAGTAGTAGTAGTAGTAGTAGTAGTAGTAGTAGTAGTAGTAGTAGCTAAAATAAATGAAGTAAATAAACAAGGGATCTAAAGCAGCTCACAACATTAAAATTCACACAATTAAAAACACACTAAGTTAAATATTAAAAGACAAATGTAGCAAGAACATCTGGGGTCCTTAGGTTGGGAACCAGTGGTCTAGCATCCAAACCTATTAAGCTAAACTGACAGTAGTAGTTTGGTCTAAATTAGAAGCTTAAAATGTGGAGCCAAAAGCTACAAAGGTGTTTGTGCGGTGACACACAAATTGTAGCCATTCTTTCTACATCTGACCTAATCCCTCAATTTAGAGAATACTGAACAGAGCTGTAGCTTCAGTTATAAATGGGAAGGGGAGTAAATGGGGTACATACTCTCCAAGATACACTTGTTCTAAGTGATCAGGAGACTGACGGATCAAGCGTTTGAATTTCACCTGGAAACTAACCAGTTATTCACATAGCTGGTGCACTGACTGACCCCCTGTGTTGAAGCAGTGATCAGGTTCAACGGGAGTTGTAGTCAAACAACATCTAGAGGGCCATATGTTCCCAGCTTCTGAACTGCAGCTCCTGAATAGTTTATCAGAGTAGTCCTGCACAACGCGAATACATAGTCCTGCCTTCGCGAATACATAGTCCTTGACAACGGCTGAAATCCTGTATAAACTGCAGTAGACTCAATGAATCAATGGACCTTACACAGATGTTGACATGGCAAATCCTCAGTGATACAATGGGCCTACTCTAGTTGCGGCTTACTCCTAGATTTTATTAGAAAAATCCACAGATGTTGCTCAACTACTAAAAATAATTTAAAAAGTCACACCTCCACAATAGAAAAATGCATTACCATCATAATAATTATGCAGGGTTTCCCCCCTCCTTTGTCAGGCTCCTTATATAGTCAGTCACAAGACCAGTCATGCAAGTGATGGTGTTTACCAAGAGGGGAGAAACACTTGAGTGGTTGCTCTCACATGACTGTGCAAGTGAATAGGATTCCACCTTAAGTGTGCATATTCGACACCCAAGAAAGTCACCTGAATTTCTATCGCCCACCCTTAGAAGTATATAAAGTGATCTTCTGAGCTGAAAACATGACACTGAAGAGTTTTCTAACTGACTCTTGGGGAGTTCTATATAATATTTGGATAACATTGGTAATTATTTTTTTCTCCTATTGTTGTAATTTAATTGAAACTTCTGTTCTTTTCACCTTAAATTTTTGCCCCATTCGAGAACAACAGCTGCAAACCATGCCACACATTTGTCAAATCAAATAATCTTATCCAGAAGACCAATTGATCATATAACTGCAGCAATGCCATTTTAACTTTCTGAAGTAAATCTGAGAAGGTAAGACAGTCAATATGTCGGGCGGGAGAACATGGACCCCAAGACGTCCTTGAGATTCAATACCCATCAACCCTCATCACTGGCTATGCTGCCAGGGCCAGTGGGAACTGCAGCATGCAACATCTGGAAAGCTACATGCTTCTCACTCTCTCCACCTGCAATAACTTAGCTATCTCAGCCTCGTGGCCCACCCCTCCCTAATTAAGCACAATCCACTAAGTGAGTTTAGCCTCCCTAAAAGGAAGCTCTTTTTGCAAGTTCGTTTCAGATGCTGTGATGTCTTATTCTCAGCTGCTGATTTTACAGTGGTTTTATATTTTTATTGTATTATTATTGTTCTAAAAATCTTAACAGATAGCGTACTGCCCAAGATATGTGGTTACTGGGTGGTTCAAAAGTACGATAAATAAATCAGAGTTATTAATTTACTGCAAAATCCTGGGCCCATATGAATAAGCAAAAAGAAAAAAAAAGGGGGGGGGAGCTAACACACACCTAAGTATTTCAGACAAACAGATCAAAATCTGAGGATAGGAATCCTGAAATTAAAAACCCTGGCTTCTACTAGTTCAACAAAACTAGAAGAAGACGTAGACTGAGCCTCCAGAGCAAGCATTCATTCATTCCATGATGCACAGTGCTTTCTGCCTCCACAATCTAAAGCAGAACACACTTTTATTTCATTTTGCTGGCCTCAAGACCATTCTTGACTTCGTTGAATATTTCATAACAGCCAAAATCCTATTATGCTTTTAATGCCACGGTAATGCAATTGACATAAATCTTGCTGGTATACTGCTGCAAGCTAAGATTTCAGGATTGGTACCTGCTTTTGTAGCTAAGCATGCAATAGCAAATGCCTATTTTATTTATTTACATATTTATTTTTAAACACCCACCCATGCATGCCCACACTGCTCCATTAGCACACAGCACTATTCTGGGCTATATATAAAACAACAAAATGACATTGTCAATCACAATGTAAAATTGGACAGCAAACAAGCTAAAATAAACCGGATGTTAAGTCCAGGTGATGCAGCAAGTCCAGGCAGCTGTGCAAGCAGGAACACAGGGGTGAGCAATTTCAAAAGAGGCTGCCACCAAAGGCCTCTTGAAAGAGATGAGTCTTCAGCAGGATTGGTGCCAGCTATGCTGATGCCTTAACCGGCCAGAATTCATCAGTAATATTTACCTGGACCATGTTATGCCTGTGGATATAACTAACTAATATTGGAATATGTCAGGATCATGGATCTATTCACTGATAATTTATGGCTGGCCCTACTCTAAACTGAATGGCTAAGCAATGGTGTTACTCAAGTACTTTCTGAAGAAGGAACTGATTTTGCAAACCATTCCAATTTGGCAAATATATGATCTCAAGCTTTAAAAAAACCAAACCAACACGAAACAAATACCTCTTCTTCTTCTTCAGACACTTTAACAGTATTATCTGGTGATTTTACAGGTTTCTGGGTATTGGATCCATTCATCTCCTCTTTGCCATGTTCCGCTTCCCACTCTTGTAACACTTCATCTATGTTAAAACGCCGCCGGTAATTTACAAAAAAGTTTTTCACTTGCACCACAGACTTGTTTCCAATCACATCAGAGATTGCTTGAAAGTCACGGCCGTATTTCCTGATTGCTACAGAAGAAAAAGAGATATTCAGACTTTATGAATGCAATCATCAAATCTTTGAAATTAGAGAGATGCCACACAATAAACCAGTGTTGTTGGGGCAACTGTCTCCTACACACTGGAAGACATTTCTATCTTTCTTCTACTTGAGGGATCTCAGAGTAGTATATATTCATGCACTGTAGTTTAAACTGAGAGGTCTGGATGACTCAGTAAGCTTCAACAGCTCCCTAGAATTCTGAAACCCAGTCTCCCTGATCTTCATCTGACATTTCATCAAATACACCACACCGAACCCTCTGTCTTGTCAGAAAGAAAAATGACAGGTGGCTGGTGAATTAAATATGGGACTTCTTGTATCAAAAATGTCAAGGGTGCAGAGCATTCTATGCATTGGGAATGGGGGACGGGTATGAATGGAACAACTGAATCATGTCACAGTGACTATACAGAACTTACAAAGTAGGCAAACAGATTGAAGAAATACATAGAGGAACAACAAATAAGAACTAATCTCTCTCAAAATGTTTTTTTAATTCTGCAACACTGTACATTTGAAGAGGTGTGAACAATGCCTGAGTTTGACGCATCTGTAGTTTGCCTTTGAAAAGAAAGAAAGAAAGAAAGAAAGAAAGAAAGAAAGAAAGAAAGAAAGAAAGAAAGAAAGAAAGAAAGAAAGAAAGAAAGAAAGAAAGAAAGAAAGAAAGAAAAGAGAAACTGGTGGGGATAAAATTATCCCAATAAATTTACAGTAGTGGTGTTTTTTTCTGGAGTAGGTTTGTTGGTTTTTTTTGAGTCCCTGGCAATGTGCAATATGTATTGTACATTCTGGTTCACTGAAAAGCAACACTCCATTCTTGGAGGAACCCCTTGGCAAATCCAGGAATCAAAAGGACTGCACATTAAACCTTTACCCTAATGACAACTCTAACTCTATTACAAACCCTCAAAGCAGTTGAATTTTCATGCAGTCTGAAAATAACCCACAACTCACTCAACACAATTAACAGAAAAATTCTGGTGGATGAGTGTTAAAACTGTCTGCTGACAAGATCCTGCGAAGAGTACTAGAGAGTAAGCAAAAAGTGAGCACCGCCTTGGTGCTCAGCCATGCTCACACTGGAGGAGACAATTCCAAATTTACCTAAATTACGCATACACTGACCCAGTATTGTGCTTATTTTCCAAAAGGATCATGAAAACCATAGGCAGGGGGTGGAGAGTTACCAAGAAAACTATTTCCATCAGACTGGCTGCAGTGTGCGAGACCGCACCAAGTATTGCTGCAAAGGTAAAAGCTAAAGTGAACACAGAACAATCTCAGCTACAGATTGTAAAAATGCATATCTTGAGACTCCCTACTATCTAAACCAGTAGGTAGGAAGGCAGCGAAATTCCTCACTGCTCAGTTAAGAACAAACAAATGTAAGAAGAACCACGTTGGATCAGACCAACAGTTTATCTAGTCCAACGTTTTGCTCACACAATGGCGTATCTGTTGCCTACTGGGAGTCCAAAAGGACAATCGTTGAACTACATCTTCCATCTCACCTTCTCCAGCAACACGTATACGAAGCAAACTGCATGATAGAGGAGATGATAAGACAGCCATCCTGTCAAGGAGTCACTGTTAGCACTGACCTCCACCAATTTAACCGATCCCCTTTTCAAGCCATTCCAAACTGGCAGCCAGCCAGAACAACATCTTGTAGCAGTGAATTCCACAGTGTAACTACGCCCCGTGTGCAGATGTTCTCTGTTATAAAGCAACAGAGTGACACTCTCTAAGAAAGAGGAACAGATCTGCAGCCCCGTTTCCATCCATACCTTGCACAGCTAAAAGCTGCTCCTCTGTGGTCCAGCGTGCATTAAATTTCGATGTAACCTACATGTCATGAAAAATAAATGGAATCATTTACTTAGGTAACAGATCTGTCTTCAAAGCCCAGGCTGACAACTGTATACAAATGAAATGGTGAACAAATGGCTTGCGGCAGAAGAGGGAAACAGTCATTTGTTAAACAAAGCCTGCATTATTTCTCACAGCACATTTAAAAAAAACCCCTTTCTTCAGTTAAATGGTAGACGCAGTTCATTATTTAGTTAACAGCAATATTTTGTTAATAATGGCAGGAAAGAAGAATGGGATAGAGGGAGCAGCTGGGTGACCCAACCACAGAGTTAGATATTGGGTCCCCCCCCCCTTTTTGTTTTTTTGCTTGCAAGCTAAGAAAATAAATGTATTGCCTCTCTCTTTTTTTGGCTAAGTTTCTGACACTGAATTGTGCTCCTCTTTCCACTACAGCTCCAAGATCTGAGCTGACCTCATTCCTGTAGTCAGTTTGGAAAAGTTACTTTTTTTATCTAGAACAAGATTGCAGTCCCCGGAAGCTCAGCCTGTAGTTTTGGCAAGTATTAAAAGGAGTTGCTAGCAGGGCCTTGCAGAAGCTCCAGGAGGGCCTGCAAACCAGCTCCAAATCTGGGCAAGGCTTATTTGGGTGCAGGACCTCCTAGCACCTGGTCAGCCCAGGGTCAAAAGGGCATCTCTTACGCTCTGGATGCAGTGCAACGTGGAAACCTCTGCCTCCTTGAAGGTTAGAGGTCCTTCTGACACACTTGCCAGAAGCACTTTCAGAGGCAAGCTGAATGAACAGCATTGAGGATCCCTATTACGGGAGTGGGTGGGGATCCAGATTAGTTTCTGTGAGGCTTCGTCCCCCATAGCAGGACTGGCCCAAGACATTTTGCTTGCTGAGACACAGAGTAAGATTGTGCTCCTCGGTTCACATACAGATGCCAGCTGGCCCAGCAAGTCAGTCTTATTTCAGCACTGGTGATGGGAAAGACCTTGCCAACATGGAACTTTAGGGGCTCCAGAACAAGTTGAGTGGCAGAGAGGACAGCTGTGGAGTCCAGGGTGAATAGTTTTTCCGGATCAGTTTTCCTGATGCAGTTCCTCCTGGATGCCACTGCAGCCCCCTCCCCCAGGATCTTCTTCCTAAAGAAACTGCTACACTCTGCCTAACAGTAGGGCCAGCACCAGAAGTTTGCAGAAACCAGTATCAGTTAGCACTTACAAGTGTTCAAAGCACTGGTTCCGATATAATAAGCCTGAAAAGGGCAAGCAGGTACCATTATTTTCATACTAAAGGCTGACTTAGTCTAAAGCCAACTTAGTTCCCAGCTGTGAGACTGGAATCACAACACCCCAGCACACAGCTGGCACTTGAGTCACTTGACTATGTCATGTAAGTTCTTTGTAATTAGCAAAGGACCAGTTCATTACAGGCCTGATTCACAAGTATGGTGCTCATTTTCCATAAACCATCATTGCTTCAAGGTCAAGTGTAGCATACAAAATTCAACTATTTTGCATGGAGGAACATGGGCCGTTTGATTGGTTTTGATTGATTACATGTATTGGAAAGCCAACTGATGAGGAAAAACAAAATCAAATGTTTAAAAAATTAAATCCACAAGAAGCAACCAACTGGATCAAGCCAAAGGCCCATCTGGTCAAGCATTCTGTTTCCACAACTAGCAGTTACATGCCTATGAGAAGCCCCCCCTCCCAAGAGGAGATGAGCATGACAACCCAGTCCTAACTGTACTGTCCAGCAACTGGCATTCAAAGTCTGTTGCTTCTGATACCGGAGGTCATATGCAGTCATCTTGACTAGTGGCCACTGAATCCCACATTCTTCATGAACATCTTTCAAAATGATGGCCATTTGATAACACATTCCACTGTTTCACTATGCAACATATGATGAAGTTGTCTATGTTGAGACCCTCCAGCCATGTGAGCCTCCAGCCCCCATTTCATTCTGGCAATAACCCATTGCATTAAGTTTGGTCAAGACATAATTATTAACCCAGATTTACTCAGTGAGTAGACTACGGACGGGAAATTAGGTCCAACCCAATCTTTCCCCCCAGGCCATGGTCTAATAGTCCAATCGAAGCAGCATGCTTGCTCTCTATATAGCAAGTCACACTGTTGCCCAGGCTGGCAATGAATTCTCCATAGGTTTAGGCTACATATGAAACCAGTCGATCTCAAGTTTATCCATCACTCACAACTCTGATCACTTATAATCAGAAGGACGAACTCAGAATGTCAAATTGTGGCTTAGCTTTACATGCAGAAAGCGGTGTTTCTCTCTCACACATGCATGCATGCACACACAAGCAGAATCAGTAATGTTGCTGAAACCCAGAATCCTCAAATCAGCGGATAAGAAACCAGCAACCTTCCAGCAGCACCACCACCCGTGGACTCTTCTGTACACTTCAGGACGAAGAGCAACACAAATGTTGCATTAGCATACATACTTACCTCTGGCAGTCTGTACTGTTCTATCCCCCCTTCCAGCTTCTCTTTCAGAGCACTGTTTGTTTGCTTGATATTTTGAATCTGAAAAGAAAAATTCTCCTATTAGTACAGATAGCAGCAAAGGTACCATCATCCTACAGAGAAAGTCCATTTAAGCTCTGATCTGAAAATTTTTTTGCAAAGCTTTCTTGTCTCTCTAAAAACCAACCACCTTCTCATGATGCCTATATTTTTGCCACTGCTATGAGAACTACAGTTCCCTTCAGACCAAAAGACTCCAAGGAAGAAACGAAAACTTTGACTAATATAAGAGGCCAGCCTGTGGAAGATCCAAGCCTTTCTAAAGCTTTAAACAGAATTTTTTAAAAAAAGAGTAGGAGAATTGCTAAGATTGGAGTGTGTGGGTCAGGAGTGTTCTCAGAAAAGGTTCAAAGGACAGAAGACTCTGTAGGGAATGACTAGGGAAGAACCCTGGCCTTTGAATTAGACAAAATGTTTGCCCTCCATGACCTTTTATGCTGAGCAGCAATGAAGAGCTAAGTGCAGAGACATTTAAAGGCACCAAGTGCTTGCCCACCAAACAAAGAAGTGAGCACAACATCCTGCAAAAGAAAATAACTCCTTGTTTTCGACTTAAAAAATAGATTAAAGAACACAGGGGTGGCCTGTCTTGAAGCATTTCCAGCAGTCTGCGGATGCTGTCAGTTTGAATATGCTTTAGGAACAGAGACACGGGTAAAAGATACAGAACCAGTTCAGAGCAAAAGATACTGCAAGAAATTGGAGAACCTCCTTTCTTCTCTCACACTGCCCACCCCACTGAAATATCTCCTAATTCTAGCTGCTTGGGAGCAACCCAGAATACTGTATGTCTCTTTCCTTGGATCTGACTGCAAGTTTCCCATAGGCCAGCCTTCCTCACCCTAATACCCTCCACCTGGATTGGATTACTACTATCCCTTTACCCTGAACAGGATGACATAAGGGGACACCCTAATATATCAGAGGGGCGGTAGAGGAAGGCATTCATAAACCTCCAAATGGCCCGGGGTACTGAAGTAATTAGTTACGGATAAGTGGCATCAGTTATCGGTGCAGGTGAGTGTGACAGACATGGTAACAGTAGCTGAATTTAAGCATTTCTATTCAGATGTATGACAGTGTTTTTACTTCCAAGAGGATTACAATTATAGTCCAGATTTGTTTAAACCGCAAAAATGATTAAATGCATCTCAAATGACTGCTGCCTCCTCCACTCAAATTTATAATACATCAGAACTGAAAACCTGAGCAGCAAATAACAGGTCCTAAAACTTTATTTTCTACAGCTGAATGTCAAATCCGGGAACTGAAAATTGGTTCAGATGCTGCCTCGTGTCCAGCAATGATGTCAGTGGCAGATTACTGCTAACTGAACTGCTCCTTTTTGATTTGCACCCTGAAATTTTTTAAAAAGGAGCTCTTTAATTAGCAGTAATCTCCTGATGCCACAGTGATGTCATACATTCTCATTGTACTTCCTGAGCTATGCAAAAGAACACACTATTAAGACATTTCATTGTTGAGATTATCGTGAATACAACTAGACAACATGGGGACATACATTATCTCCACAGCACTGACTGGGGAGAAGACAACAGACAATCTACGTCTTGCAACAATAGGAAGTATTGATTTCCCTTGTCAATAATTCTAACCTCTGCCATTAGCTGATTCATAATAGGAAACAGAGATGGGCACAAATCAGTTCATCTCAGTTTCATCCACAGGTGCTGCTGTTCCCCTTCCCCGCCTCCTCAGCCACTCACCATGCCCAGCTTGCTGCTTTTTCCACCTCCTCAGCTAATCTCCCAGTCACAAGCAAGAGAAGAGACTTCTTTGCCCCACCCTTTTACCTGAGTGGCAGATCAGCCAAGAGGGCAGGGGCAGAGAAGCCTGAGCTCTTGCCGGGACTGGAAGATCAGTTGAGGAGGACCAGGAAGCTAGCATGCTGGGCCTGGTGAGTGGCTCGTTCAGCCAGAGGAGGGGGGAGCAACAGCACCTGTGCTGCCGCCTTTATGAACTGGGACGAACCGCTTCGTGCCCATCTCTAATAGGAGAACATCAGAGAGCAATCCCTTGAAAAATCACTTCATGTAGAGGTGTGGCAGAGGCAAAATATGTTTGGTAAAAAGTAAAGGTAAAGGTTCCCCTTGACAATTTTTGTCCAGTCGTCTTCGACTCTAGGGGGCAGTGCTCATCCCCGTTTCCAAGCCATAGAGCCAGTGTTTTGTCCGAAGACAATCTTCCATGGTCACATGGCCAGTGCGACTTAGACACGGAACGCTGTTACCTTCCCACCAAGGTGGTCCCTATTTATCTACTTGCATGTGCATGCTTTCGAACCGCTAGGTTGGCGGAAGCTGGGACAAGCAACGGGAACTCACTCCGTCACGTGGATTCGATCTTACAACTGCTGGTCTTCTGACCCTGCAGCACAGGCTTCTGCAGTTTAGCCCGCAGCGCCACCACGTCCCTATAGTAGTTAAAATCTCAGGTTGGGATTTGTGAGATCCAAGTTCTAGACCATGCCCCCAGTCCTGAACCATGGAATTACTTTGGAATCTGGAGCCAATAATTCATTCTCTCAGCCTGACTCATCTCACAGATTTATTGTGAAGAAGCAATGATGGAGAAGACAGCAGTGTAAGCTCTCTTGTGCTTACTAGAAGAAAGGCAGCATATAAATGTAATAAATAAACCAGGATGAAAAGTAACGACAAAACAAAGAATGAAGCACTGAAAATAATGACACAGTTGCAGGCAGGCCACCATGTGCCACATGCAAAGCTTGTATAAATACAGTTTTGGAGCAGGAGCACCAATTGTGCAAAAAAATAAATGCTGTCTTATTCTTACTTCTGGCCTTGAATGGGTGGAAACTTTTGCTATACAAATAAAAAGTCAGAGCTGGGAGAAGGTCATATAACTGAGAATGTAAAAAATGAAGTAACCAGCCAATATGAATGGTGGCCAACATAAAAGTTAGTCCAAGGTAAAAAGCAGCACAGAAACTGTGATTTATAGAAGCCTACCACAGCATCTCAGAGAAGAGGTTGGAAGCTGGCAAACCACCTTGCTGCACTGTAAATAGGAAGCCAAACTGAAATAATTCCGTTCTAAAACGCAATGTTCAGCTGACAGCTTCTTAATCAAGCCTCATCCCGATGCAACACATCATGTCCAAGCCATAAATCCCTCAGAGGGACACAAAATTGAGGCTGATGGCAGCTCCCTTTTAAAGATACGTATTGGGAGGATTAAAAATCAGCCCTGTTTTATTGCAAGGGGGAAAAAGAAACGGCCGTACCTGTCGTTTGATGGAGACCAGTTCCATATCCAGTTGCCTTAGCAAAGTGGTAGCGGCCGTGGCGTTGGCGGAGACGGCCTCCACATCTTCCTGAGAAAGGAACATGCCTTTGGGAGGTTTCCTCTTGGCTCTGTTCTTGGCTGCCTGGCTACTGTGCTTCTCCTTTTTCACCTGAGGAACGGCTTCCGCCGGGGGTGCCTGCAAAGTAGAAACCTACCACACATAAGCCTGGATGCAGCATGTCAGACACACAACACATAACCAATGCTACCTCTTCAGAAGAGGCCTGCAAACCCAACCGCACGCAAAACACACCCTTGGCCTCATTTGAACATACCGAACAGGCAACAAAAATTGGCTGTATAGAGATGTGCTTCAGTTTGTCTCATTTGACACCTCTGTTGCGGATTATAAAACCACTGGTAGCCCGGAATATGAAAGCAGGAGGCGATTAAACCAGAATGGAGCCCTGACTGTATGGGGTGCAGAGGATATCCTTGCTTTTTGCTTTCTGGCCTGGTGCCAACACTACTACCTATTCAGGGCAGCCCCCTGGTGGCGCCTGAAACACCTGGTGGTGAAAGATAGGATCTCAAACAAGCGCTTCTCTTCCACTGGCCCAAATTTTAGTGGAAAGGAATGCCCCGTGAGAGAACACGTGCTTCCAGGCATTTTTTTTCCAAGTTAAAAGGACAAAACCAAAGGGAACGAAATCCAATCAACACTGCAGCAACACCCAGGAATCTTAAGAGGCAAAGCAGATCACGGACGGTGAACCGGTGGCTCTCCACACTATAGTGCAACTGCCAAGATCCCTCGACACTTGGCTATACTGTTTACGGCTGATAAGATGTTGCTGTAGTCTGGCAGCAACATCCTGAGGAGCACACTTTCTCCTAACACTGAAACGAACATTTGAAAATACACAATAAGCTGTTTTGCCCCAGTATCTGAAAATACAATTATGTTAGCAAGCACTTACACCTTTCTGGGGGAAATATACACCTATAACTGGGCCCATAACCAAGTGCTTTCCCTATGAGATGCCTACCTTTTTTTCTAAAGGAAGAGGTATGCAAAGGCCCTCGGCAGGTGGTCTGAAAGCACAGACAGGCTCTGGTTGCCCCAACATTCCAGAGTGATTTGGTTGAAGGAGATAAGCTGGCAGGCTCTTGCTTCGTTATGTGCCAGCAACAGAAAATGTTCTCTTCTTAACTCTCTTAACACAATTAAAAATCCTCCTATTTATTCAGTATGAGGCTGAATGCACATAACTGCATGCAAGGATTGCCACACAAAGACCAATCAATCAATCAATCAATCAATCAATCAATCAATCAATCAATCAATCAAAAAACAAAACAAAACCAAGCATGCTATACCACCCCATAGCACATAAAGCATTCCAGGTGGCTTACAGTTTAATTATGTGGGCTACACATTGCCATCCCCCACCAGCAAAATGAGTACTCAGTGTACCCACCTCGGAAGGCTAGAAGGCTGAGTGAACCTTGAGACAGTTAACTGAGACGGAAACTGGGTTGTGAGTGGAGTTTTGGCTGCAGTACTGCAGTTTAAGCACTGTGCCATGAGGTTACCTCATGGCACCTGTAGAAGCACCTGTAGAACATTTAATTGGTGCCAGATAGCCCTCGAGGTTGATGGCTGTGATGTGAGCAGTGAGTCCATCCTGGACTTTAGTCCCCAAATTTTATATGACTTTCCACAGTGCTGAACCCTCACAACACCAGAGTCAAACAGCCTCCACATCTGGGGAGCTTACAGGGTCAACCCCAACATCAAACCGAATGACATGCTGGTCTCAAGAGCCTGGTGTTGGGAGGTCGTGACAAGGGGCTGCTGCATGAGAGAGAGTTGCGTTGTGTGCTAAGTGGCATCCCCAAAGATAATCTGGTTTCCAGTGTGGTGCGAGATGTTTTCCCACCACCAGTGTGGAAGAAAGATTCAACTCCCAATAACGTAGGGCTCTGTACAGGAGATGGGAACGTCTACAGTGGTTGACTTACAAAAGTTTCCACTGTTTCCCATTGGGTTTTCTTTACTTAGAACTACCAGTTATTTTTAGGCCCACATTTTAAGATTTATTTCACCTCCATTTATTTATTTAATCCATTGTCTCCCTTCCATCCATCATCGAACCCAAGGGAGCAAACATGAGAGTCCCCAGAAAGTCTCGAATCCAGGAGATGTGGCTGGGCCATTATTGTTTTAGCTTTTAAAAACATGGCTTCCTTTTATGCCCAAACCCTTCTGAATCTGAATTACATTTCCAGCAGCAGGAGGAGAACACCAAGGCCCGTCCAAGTTCTACCATGTGAAATGAAGAGCATTTCAGCAGAACACAAGGACATTCACATAACTGGGACCAACAATTGGATTTTACGTTGGAACAGAAAGATGCCCCAAATTTCAAAAGAAATTCTAAGGGACACTCCTTTAGAACAAACCAACAAACTGAAACAAACAAGCATATTAGTGCTGTTAAGCATGGCACGGGTACTATCCCAATACCCTCTGAAACAACCACCGTACACTCAAAGATGTGCTTTTAAAAGATGGTTTTCCAGGCCTGGCATCAGTGTTATCAGATTACTTTCTGCACCAGGAATAAAAGCTTCTGCTTGTGGAGCAAGTATGTGGGTGGTGAAATAAGAGAACAAGGATAGAAGAGTAAAGTTTAAGTTTGATAAGCAATTTCCTGTATGTCAGCCAGAGGGGAAGAAGCAGAAACTAATTTAAGACAAAACATGAGAGGTCAGATGATTGCAGAGTAATCCTTAAACTTCATTCATTTTTATACAGAGCACTGCCAAACGCAAGAGATAAAGATTTTTTTGCATGGGTATAAAATTTGCCCTGAAAAAAGGTCTTTTCAGGACAATGTATTGCACCGATTATTGCAAAATATGGGTCTGGGGTTTTGTTTCCTGTTTCTGCAAAAGAAGCATTCAAATCGCCCGCAGCTCCAATACAGATTTCTTTTCTTGTTTTCAAAGCATTGCACTAAGTTCACACAGGAGAATGTTACAGGATCATTCAAAAACATAGATGCACATATACACAGAAGTACTGATATTATCACCTCTTTTCTTTCCTTAAGCAAAATGATCAAGTGTGCAAGGGCCATATTGCAATCTCTTCCTCCTCTGATGGGATATCTATTTCTTCTGAGAGTCGCCCTCCCAACAATACACATAATTCTAGGGTGACTGGTGGTAGGTGGCCTCCCTTGGTGTGGAGGGAGGTGTCTTCTATGGGCTGAAAGCCCAGTGACCTTCAATTAAAGTTGCTTCAGGAATTCAATTTTTATAGATTCTAAGGCAGACAGAGTTGACCTGTGCCTCTCAGATGCAGACTGGCATGTCATTATTCTTCAGCTGTTGCACTTTTCTGAACTTTAGGATGAGATTTTCAGCAATCAAACCCCCAGATGCATTTTTAAATGTGTATTCCAGAATAAAATGCATGCATTTATGTTACAATATGTCTAGAAATATGTTCTTTGTAAGAAAAACTAATTCAAAAGATTGCATTTGAATACACATAGGATGCCCCTATCCGTGGGATCAGTATCTGCTGATTCACTTATCTGCTGGCTGAAAATACCCAATGACCACCCCCCTGAAATAAACTGTATGTATTTCCAGGGTGTATTTACCATAATTGGCCACTAGAGGGAATGAGAGACAATGCAATGTATAGTGTTCAATACTTCCCCATTTTTTTCAGCATCCACAGGGGGAGGGGCTTGGAACAGATCCCCCTGCAGATAACACAATCCTAAAGCTTGTTTATATATGAATATTTATGTGGACTTTAAAAATTACACATTAATGCAGGGAAGGAACATACACAATCAACTTTGGACTGTCCCCAGCCTCCTCATCCTACAGATGTCCAGCTGACAGAAACTTATATTAAACTATCACATAAAATGGAAAACTGGCACATCAGTAGATACGTTTTATATATCAGTTATTCATTTACCATACTAGGATCCTGTCTTTCCTCCAAGGGGTTCAGCTGGCATACAGTGAGCTACCCCATGTTACCCTTGCAACCATTCCTGTTAGGCAAGTTAAAGAGGAGACATCAATGATTCAACCTGGTTCAAATACCAATTGCTGCGCAGAAATCCCAGTTATTTTCCTCCTCCTTTCCTCACTTTCCTCCTTAGTGATGGCTGGTTTTTTGTTTTGTTTTTACCTTGTAATGTAAATGGACAGAGCCACCAGTACCTCTGACAACAGTTAGGTCTCAAACTTGTGATTGAAACTAGTTTGCCCTCAAGCCTGCGAATCAAACTCACTCATGATGACAGCCACAATTGCTTGATTTGATCCCACTTTCCAGGTAAAGATAAAGGTAAAGGTTGCCCTTGATATTTAGTCCAGTCGTGTCCGACTCTAGGACGCTGTCCTCATCCCCGTCTCCAAGCCGTAGAGCCAGCTTTTGTCCGAAGTCAATTTCCGTGGTCACGTGGCCAGCACGACTAGACACAGAATGCCGCTACCTTCCCACCGTGGTGGTACCTATTTATCTACTTCCATTTGCATGCTTTTGAACTGCTAGGTTGGCAGGAGCTGGGACAAGCGACGAGAGCTCACTCCGTCGCGTGGATTCGATCTTACAACTGCTGGTCTTCTGACCTTGCAGCACAAAGGCTTCTGCAGTTTAACCTGCAGCGCCACCGTGTCCCTTCTCACTTTCCAGAGTTCAAAAACACTTCACTGATTTGATCCATATCAACTGATGAATTCCAGAAGTTTCTGTTTGTACCAGGAGCAGGTCTTATGTACAACTAATGTCTTGTAATTGCTTGTCAAGAACAAACAATCCCACTTTGCAGTGTAATAGCTACTGTGAAGAATGCAGCAGAGGTCAGAGGAAAGAAAGAAGCCTGAAATTGTATGGATGGTGCCTTGATCTCTGCTACTCAGAAAGTTTCTGGACTTCAGCCTGTACACCCTGGCTCTATTACAACACTCGCGCTGCATTAAGAGTGTCAGAGCAGAGTAGCCAAAACAAAATGTGGTGATAATCAAAATGAATGGAAAATAAAGGGGGGGAAAAGCAGAACCCAACATTGTTGGAGGGTTTGGCCTAGGAAATAGAAATGAAGCAGGAAGGGTCTACCAGAACTGTGGACTGGAACCAGAAGTATAATAAAATAATAATGCAAAAACAAACAA